AAAGATAAATTCAAATTAAATTCTGATGTCTATAACATGAATACTAGACAAAAATATAACTTCCACCTACCCTCATCAACTTTATCAGTATATCAAAAAGGAGTCTACTTTACTGGCATAAAAGTGTTCAACAATCTGCCACAAAGTATTAAAAACTTGGGCAATGATACTAAAAAGTTTAAATCAGAGTTAAAGAATTATCTACATGCTCATTCCTTCTACTCTTTAGATGAATACTTCAATGTAAATAGAGAATGATGTAAAATTAAGTCATATAATTTTTAAGCTAAAATTGCCTGTACTTATGTATGTAACCTTTTGACATGTTCTGTATCCAAAGGTACTAACCTGCTTAGGATTTATAGAATGTAAATAAATTCAATTCAATTCAACTGATGAACTGTTATCAGATTTAATTTCAGAGGAATACAGTTACAGTAACATGTGTTGACACATTCCAGGGAGAAGTTTTATGGACTTTGTGAGCATTCCTTTCTGTTGTGTATGGTAAAATGTTTTGCAATTCCTGACATGATTATTGTGGAGTTACTGTGAGCGACCTATTTTAGTCATGTTAAGCATATTACTGTAAGGGTACTGTTATTTTCTTGTAACAGTTACTTGAGCCATAATTTGTAGCATATGTTTCACCATCCAATTACAAACTGGTTTCATGTATGTTAGACTTAAGGTTCACACAGCAACTGTGATGCTGCATAGTCCGGCAGATGTTAGCCGATATTTTGGAGGAACTTACTGCCTGTGTCTTCAGGGTCAGAGAGTAAGCCAAGCAAGGGGCATAGTTGTGCACTCCTTGCAGCTTGTTTAGATTACTTTTCAGCTCTGAAGGTGGAAACTGTATGTCTCTCAGAAATGTTGATAAACTACCAGACTACACTACAGACACACCCCCATGTCACAGAAGATAGTAAGTACTCTGTGATTTCATGTCTTGTGAAGGCACAGTAATGTAGATTATTGTATTATCCATGGCGTTCTCCACACTGTTAATAATCTGCAAATTTTGAGCTGCAAAGTAGATTTTTAAAGTAAAAGTACAACTTTCTTTTTGTGGTTAGCATTGTGTTCACAGTAACTGTGCTGTCAAAAGGTGTGATATTGTTCCATTTTTAGCATGTTGCACCACCATCAGGCAGAGGAAGGTAATGTGAAATGTTTATGAAACTAGTGATAAGCTGATACAACTTCAGATGTTTGCACTGGAATTTGAAATCTGTGAATTATGTATGAACTTTATGGCACTAATTTCAAAGGGACAAGTATTGGTAACAAGGTTTTTAAGAGAAGAGACTTGTTACTGCAGTCAGCCAACATAATGTTCTGTAAAAATGAGATACTAGGAAATCAAAAACTGCTTGGATTTCCTTAAGAAATTCAAACAGGAGCTCATAATTTTTTATACCATTTCAAATTTCATGGGAAAGGTGTGCAGTGTACTCCTGTCACATGATCAGGATATTGGTTTGTATAACATGGAGATTTAAAGCTCAAGAATAACATATCGAAATGCTTCAATCTAGCATTAAAGATGCATTGTTATTTTGAAGACTTAATCAACTTGTGGAAAATAACATACTCTTGCAGTTGCAATAGATTTCATTTAAAGTATTTCTGCTGTTGTAATCACTCTCTCGGTGGATCAGCAGATTAAGAAGGAATGCTGAAAAATATAAACATGTATACCTTTACAGTCCAACTCAGCTTCTGAGTAATGCATGTGTTCCAAGTATTTTGAGTCTGGAGTTCGTCAAGATACAGTATTGCGCAAGTTGTATAAGTGGTGCTCTTTTCTACATTTTTTAGTGTCTTTTTTCTTTGCAACAACCAGTCTGTGTAAAATGTACAGTAACATGACAGAATTTATTGCCTATCTTCTTACCATACACATAAAATATCTTACAGGTAATAAGCACNTTCAACAATCTACAAGAAACGGCTACAATTAATTATAACACAGTTGCGGGTTTCCACACTTTACAAACCCTACAACCAAAGTCTTCGCATACTAATAACGCGGGAGCTATACAAATCTCCCTGAATTACACACTCCAAATATAACTGTACTACAACACTCACTAAGTCTCGAAAGCACACAATAAGTCTTCCGCTCACTGACTTCTTAGTTATCGCACACTCGCAGGCTGCTAACTTGAGAACTGTTGATAACACACTCTGACTCGTAGGCTTGCTCGGAACTCTCGGAGGTAGCTCGAGGACTAACTCGGAACTGTCTTCGGCGATG